TTGCGCGTAGAGCTTTCCTGTGGTGAATGTACAATCAGATCATAGATTGAAAATTTCACTCTGCTACTCACATAGAAGCAGGGTAGAAAAAAATACCGAGAACATCGACAGCCTTCCTCAAGTCCTCAAATTAGGGCTCTGGCTATCAATGCTTCCATAGCGCACCGGACTGTTGCTGTGCCTGACGCCCCGTCGTGGCATGCAAATGATCTTGTGACACCTCGCTACTGCTTTCAATTCATTCATTTCATGCCTACTCAATGCAGCGTATTGGCCACGCCCATATCTTACCTCTTTAACCCTTCTCTTTGCAAGACTAGGTGCTTCCGCCTTTTATAAGGAAGAAACTAAACAGCTGCACTGTACAATACATGAGTATAAAAAACGAAAGTTGAGAATATTCTGAAGTAATGTAGGCTTCTGGACTATGTACCAAGATGGGTGTTCCATTTCCCTATGAGAACATGGTTGATGTCTGGCATGCGTCTCTTCTTGTAGTTGTCGATCGACTGGAGTAAGATAAAGAGCTGCGCACCCCTCAGCAATGAAAGAGTGCGGCGCCGGGCTGGATATCTCTCTCTCGGTATCGCATTGTCCTGGTCTTGATTGGGCTGGCCATTGAATTTGTACCTGAGCACGCGGAACGACTGTGATCCATCAACACAGACATTCTGCATCTTACTCGCCCTTCAGAGAATACTGGAGGTAACTAATGACGGCAAAGGGGCAGTGCAGCCCACAATGCTTCCCGCTGGGTTACTTCGTGGTAGGCTAGTGATGCTACGGGGTCCAGCTAGTGTTAGAGGGTTGGATACGAGAGGACCCCTGGAAAAATTGGGATAGGTCCCACGAGAGACGCGCAGCTCGCAGCAAGACGGAGGGAGAAAGGATTTCGGCATTGCCGCCGTGCTGCATTGATCTGCGGAAGGATGAATGCAAATCGCTGGGCAGACTTGGGTCGGCACGTTCGGCTGTGCTCTCCCCACATTGAATCTCCACGTGTTTGGCCAGCGGCGATGGAAGTGGCGACGGACGATGCGGCTGCAAAGTCACCGAGAGGCTTTATCGAGACCAAGATTGTCAAAGTGAAGAAGTTGGCAGACCACGAAGCCCCTCTTGTGTCGCCTACGTGTTCCGCGAGCCTGCATGTGACAGCTGCTAGGACAATCGATGTGACGGGCGCAGGTAACGGCGCAATGGATGGAAATGCAAGCAAGTCATGATAGGCCGAAGTGTAACAGCCGCGCCACAGGCTAAGACGATTCAAGGGTCGGGCACTGCTGCACGATGACGATCATGTCCGGATGGTGTTGAGGGCGTAGCATTGAAGGGAACATGACATCACCTAAGCATCTTTGTGAGCCTCTTCAGTGCCGCGAAGCCGCCGTGGATGGCCATGGTTTTATTCTTCACATCCGGCATCTGCCTCTCGACAGTACAAGCACCCTCAGGCTCACACTAAATCCATCAAATTGAGCAGTTTGCGACACAATTGCACTCCGAGCAGTAAGTATTGATTGATCTGCGGCGCCAGGTCGGTTCGGGCTCTCGCAATCTGCGCCTCGACCCCTCCGAGGCATCTCACCCCTTAGCGCGACTCCACACGTCATCGCCAGCCACAGCGAACGCGGTTCAGGGTTGCAGTTGTTTGCGAACGTCTTCTTACATATATTCGTCAGGGTCTACCTTACCGTCGCCGCAGCCAATATCCACGACCAGGCAGCTCCCACCATGGCGACCCAGCGCCCAGTCACCCCGTCGGCCTCCTACGACCCCGTACCGCACATCGACGACCCAGCCCATCTCAGCCGCGGCTACGGCACCTCCGCTGTGAATGACTTTGGAAACTCACCACTAAGCGCGCCAAATGAGCGCTCGCGCCTGGGGCGGTTCGAGGAGGACTTCGATGCGCGCACACGTGGTTCATCCGTCCTCGAGGGTGATATGCACCAGCGCTCGTCCTCGCGCTCGTCCACCTTGAACCAGGGCGCAACCCCTTCGCGAAGTGGCACGCTCAAGAAGAAGAACTCTGTCAAGAGGGCAAGCAGCATGAAGCGTAGTGGAAGCAGGAGATCCATGCACGCGGGCTCGATACGTGGCGTGACCATTGACGACCAGGAGCATGGCTATGACCGCGAGGACAGTGTCTTCTATACTCCTGTACCGACCAAGGGCACCCCCACTGAGATACTAGCAGAACGCTTCCAGAGTATGTTAGGCACGTGACAAATCCGTGAAACCTACTGACACCGGACAGCTTGGCGAAAGTTTCTCAAGGACCTCATCACCTACTTCCGCGAGGTCGCATCCTCATACGAGCACCGCGCCAAGTCGCTGTTGAAAGTCTCGAACGTTATCAACAACACCAATGCCCCCGCGGCCCTCCTCATAGAAGGAGGTCTGAACGACGCCAACCGCATCCTCCGCGATTTCCACAAGCAAGCCATCCTCGAGGCCAACAAGGCGCGGGACGTTGAGGCCGACGTCATCAACCAGCTCAGCGGCCTCCGGGCTGATCTTGCGCAGAAGATCAAGGAGATCAAGTCGCTGTCTGGCGACTTCAAGAACAACGTCGAGAAGGAGAAGGAGACCACAAGGAAGTGTGTAACAGCACTTGAGGAGGCGCTGGCTTTGGCCGACTCCGACCCCACGGCAGTTGCAGGCAAAGGAGATCCATATGTCGTGCGTCTGGGTGTCGAGCGCCAGGTGGAGAGGCAGATCGATGAGGAGAACTACCTCCACAGGGTCAGTTATCGCACGTGTAGGGGCGACTCAGCTAACGTATACAGGCTTACCTCAACCTTGAAAACTCCGGCCGCGAACTCGAGTCGATCGTCGTTGGCGAAGTCCAGAAAGCCTACAATGCTCTTGCTACCATCTTGAAGCGCGATGCCGATGAGCAGTACAACACGGTAGAGCGGTTGCGCAATGGCCCGATCGCCATGCCGCGCGATCTCGAGTGGAGCAGGTTCGTGCGAAGCGACCCTCACTTCGTCAACCCAGACATGCCGTTGCGCAGACTGGAAGATATTCAGTACCCTGGCAAGCACCACCCTGCTACCACCGAGGTCAGAGCGGGTATGCTCGAGCGGAAGAGCAAGTATCTCAAGTCCTACACACCAGGATGGTAAGTAACTTAGTCTTGACAACCTTCCCAGTCTAACACTTTCTAGGTACGTCTTGTCGCCAACGCATCTCCACGAGTTCAAATCGGCCGACCGCATCTACACTCAGCCTCCAGTCATGTCCCTCTATCTGCCAGACCAGAAGCTTGGTTCTCGCTCCCAGCCCGGAAGTTCTTCCCACAAGTTCGTTATCAAAGGCCGTCAGGCTGGATCCATGCATCGTGGCCATACTTGGGTGTTCCGGGCGGAGACGTACGATACCATGGTCGCATGGTTCGAAGATATCAAGGCCTTGACTGAGAAGAGCGGAGAAGAGCGCAACGCTTTTGTCCGTCGCCATGCAAGCGTCAGGAGTACCAGCGCCGGCAGCGCCCGTTCAGCCAGCTCGGATGGCGGACTAGAGGAAGACGAGGCAGACGCGGTTCCTTTCTCAGCCAACCAGTCCATGAAGGAACAGGCCTACCGGGATCAGTCTGAGCGACCTTCCCGACCTTCTCCAGGTGGGCGATTCCCGTCTGATTTGATGGTCAACCGTAACTTACAAGCGCCTTTATCGCCTTCTAGCGGAAGTTCAGAGGTCGGCAATGATCTAAACACCATGTCTGGAGGTCCGACACAGGATGTGCACCCGATGTATCTTGCCCAAACCTCAGCCTACCAGCCCGAACCTGCTCAGCCCGTCCAGCCAGTCCAGTATACCCAGCCCGCTCAATATCAACCGCAGACCAGTTTCGTAAACCCATACCCACCCGCCCAGCAGGCATACGCGCCTCAGACTGCCGACGCCCCTTCATACGCGCCCGTTTCTCAGGCTTACCCTGTCCAGCCAACTTCGGTCGACCAGTACAACCAGCCATCCCTGGAACATGCTGAGCCTATCCAACGCAAAGATAGTACTCATTACGGCAACTGGTTGGCGCCTGCTGTTGGGGGTGCAGCCACCGGAGCCCTTGCAAACGAAGCATTGCGGAAAAAACAATTGGCGCAACAACACTACGAGGCCCAGCAGCTCAACCAAGAGCAGCAATATCCAGTCGAACAGTCTCGCGCGGTAGACTTCCCAGATGCCACCCCTACGCAAGTCCCCGAGCGGCATCCTGACCATATACTCCCCGACCAAATCGACGACACAGGCTACGTTGCCCCTGCTGTGCAGCCAACCCCTGCTCCGATCGTTGCGCCTGTCTTTGATAGCCACACTCAATCCCAGCAAGTAAGCGGGTTGGATACACCAGGAGCTACTTCGTCTTTTTTAGGCGAGTCTGAGGTAGGGGCACCTGTCTTTGGCGAGACTGTCAACGGCGGGCCCGTCCCAGTGGGCCTCGTGGATACTGCAGAGGATATGGCGCACCCTGGCATGGGCAAGCGGATGAACACCGACATCAGCGTCAGCGACCTGCATGTCCCGGGTGAATATCCCAAGACAACCGTTGGTGACGCCAGGATTCCTGCTGCAGCCGCCAGATCGCAGGAGCCCACGACTTTCCTGAAGTACAACTGATTGTCTCACGGCAACGACTGAACGACCTGGGTTATGGGAGCTCTACGATGACGACTCGGACGACTGGATTATGGATTCACGACAAACAGCTTGGTTAGGGCTGGCTACGGGCTGGGGGTTTCTGGCGAAGAGCAAGGTTTACATATGCGTCGCCTTTCTGTGAGGATCTCCTTGATGGATCTGTCAACATTTTTTCCTTTACAGTTCTTTCTCTCGTTATAACGTCTGAGCATACGTGCTCAAGCGTCTCATTACCCCCCTTGATACCCGGCGTGATACACCCAATAGTACATAGATGGTAATTTGCTTTAATTGATCGTTACACTTCATTCGCTAGTCTGGTTCACTGATCAGATCCGATGGGATCATCAATCCTACGCAACATCAACAACAATCTTCCCCCTAACTCTTCCTTCGACCATGTACCCCTTGACCTGCTCCCACCCCTCTTTACATCTTTCCTCTGTCAAGATCCCCTTAACGACATCCTGCACCACAACCTTTACCTCGCCCTTCTCCGCCAACTCCCTGACCTGATCCAGTAACTCACTCTTCTGATACAAGATAACATTCGCATACCTCGGCCCAAAGAAGTATCCCCAAACATGTCTCATCACCTGCGACGGATACGTAAAATACGTCAACGGCCCACCCATCGCTGTCCTCGAAGTCTTATCCCCCACAATAGTAATATACGCGCCCGCCGGATGAAGTAACTCGTTCCAATGCGCAAACATCTCCGTGCCGCCCACACAGTCAATGTACAAATCGTATTTCGTGCCGCCGGGCCGTTTGGAAAGAAGCGAGTTGGGCACGTCTTGGGTGCGGTAATCGATGACTTCGTCTGCTCCCAGGGATTGCACGAATTCGACGTTGGAGCCGGAGCAGATGCCGGTTACGTGGCAGGAATACAGCTTTTTGGCGAGTTGGACGCACCACATTCCTACGCCGCCGCTTGCGCCTGAGACGATGACGCGGCGTTGCGAGGGGGATGGGGAGCTGGATGGGGAGGGGAGCCAGTCGAGGCAGGCGAAGGCTGTTAGGACTACGAGAGGGATGGCGGCGGCTTCGTGGTGGGAAAGGGTAGTAGGTTTCTTTGCGATGGGCTCGGAGGTTGGGTTGATGGAGAGATATTGTGTGAATGTCCCTTCTGCCATCTAATTTACGTTAGTCCCAACGTATTTCTTCTCGATCCGAAAGCCGTGCCAGGCGAAAGATTGACTTACAGGTCGATTACACAATCCAAAGACTTGGTCGCCAACCTCCCATTTTCCGCTCTTACTTGCTTCTTCGCCCATTGACACGATTTCGCCAGAGTAGTCGCGTCCTATTCCTTTCTCCTTCTTGCCTGCTAGCCAGCCGATCACGGGGTTCCCCCATAGTTGGATGTCGACGGGGTTGATAGCTGCGGCTTTAATCTTCACTAGAACTTCTTGGGGACCTGGTTTCGGTATGGGTGTATGTGTAAGACGTGGTTGAGATGAAGGTTGCGTATATGTGAGAGATGTGTTGGACTCTGGTAGTGAGGATGCCATGGTGAAGTAGCTCTTTCTTTCCGTGAGCGGCGGAGCGAGTCGCGTGTTGATGTAGGAGACTAAGGTTCAATCAGAGCGATTGATAGTACACTTGCGGAACCAATGTTTACTTCCGGGTTTCTACTTATGGCAAGACGCGGCCAGGGTTCTATTGACGTCGTATTTCCAATGTTGCTCAGCAAGACCTTGGGTGGGGCTTCGGAGTACACACCGAGGCTGCATATAGCCTATACGAGTCAGGTAGCGGGAGTCGTGGATCATGACCGAATCGCAGCCCTTTGTCAAGACCAAGGCATAGGATTTGGTTTGTTATTGTATATGGGTCTATCTAAGTCTACAGTTTATAGCATGTGTTCATAGTTTAACTGTACTTCTAGCGCGTATGTTCTCTCCGTACCTGATGAACAAGAATGGTATCGGGATCAGTAACGTAGCGATGAACCCCAGCATAGTGTTACCCCAACCGTAGCCCATTTGCGCATACATCGTCTGACTACTCAGTGGGATAAAGGCTGCTGCAACACTACGCAACACTGTACTCGCCGCCATGGCGCTGGCCGCATGGACAGTAAACACGTCGACTAAGTACGTAGTCGCAGGCATGAACGTCATCAGCAGACCGAAACCAATAATACCTGTTGCAACAATGGGTACCATGAAGTGCGTCTGGTATTGCACGCTCCAGCCGTAGATAAAGAGACCGCAAGGAATGAAGAAGCCGCCGATGCACATCATTTTCAGCCGGTGTTCAGGTCGGAAGTCGCCGCGCGCCATGTGCTTGTGTACCACTTTGTTGCCATAGTGGATGTAGGTGAATTGTCCGATGAGGGAGCCAATGCCGAGACCGAGGAATGAGAGACCAGTGATGCCGCCATGCCAACCATATTGTCCCTTGAACACAGCAGTGAAGGTGGTGAATAGAATGTAGAGATAGGCGTATGTGATCGCAATGTAGAGCGAGATGGCGAAGCAGATAGTTGAGCGGAACAACATCTTGGCTGGTCGAATGATCGAAAATTTGAAGAGCTGACGTGGGGTAAGGCCACTATCAAGCTTAGATCGTAGTTTCGTGTTCCCGGTCTCGGCTTTGAGACGATTGACTTTCCGTTGTAGAATGATGATGCCAGATGTCTCGCTCATCAGAATGAGTGACATGATGAAGAATGCACCGCCCACTATAGCGACGAACCAGAAGTTCCATCGCCAGCCTTTTGCTACTGTCAAAAAGCCGCCGATGATTGGACCGACACAAGGCCCTACCGTTGGTCCCATCATCCACACAGCCATGGCAGTACCACGCTGTTCTCGTGGTATCAAGTCCGCAATAGTCCCTCCACCAAGTACCATGGGCGCTCCTCCAAAGCAGCCCATGAGAAATCGGAACACAACAAACTGCGCCATATTGTTCGCCACTGCAGCCGCAATCGTGAACACAATGAACAGCAAATTGCAGCTATGGTACAGTGGCAGTCGACCATACATCTCCGAAAGTGGTGCAATGATCAATGGCCCAAACGCAAAGCCAAGAACGTACACGCTGACCATGAAGCCTTCAAGCAGATCACTCGTCGAGTTGAAGTCGCGCATAACCTCCGGCACACCGGGTGCGAATTGCGAACTCGCAAGAGGCGTTAGGAACGTAATCGCCGATATGAGCGCGACCATGCCCCATTTCTTTGAAGCTTTCCAGTTCATTGGGTTCTCTGCGTCGTTAGGACCGTCAAAGTCGACGACATTCGGATCGCTTTCGGGTTCCTCTTCTGCATCAGGTTGGTCTGCACTGGAGATTGAGCCTGAGCCGTTTCCCTTTTCGACATCTCTTTCGCCAGTTGTGTATTCGCCCTTCTTCTCATCTAGCGAGTGCCGTCTTTCCGATGTATGACTCGGCACTTGGTGTATCGAGCCGAGGTTGCTTGGGATATCTGCATCGTGGCCTTCTGCTGCGGCGAGGTCGATAATCTCGCTTCTTGTGGGATGGCGATACAATCCTGGTGGTTCCGGTTGCGGCATGTTGGTGGCTCGTAGAGATTGTATGAGCTCAGAGGGTAACGAATTCGCTATATGTTATGCGTCACCGCTGAGTCGTGCGTCACTCGGTTGTACAAAGCAATTATAACGTATTTGCTGGAAACAGCGAAGCGAATGCTGTCAAGCTAATAATGTTGGCATGTGGAGATCTCGTCCGCATGAGTGTCCGGGGATAACGGGCTGCCTCGAATGGCTTGAATCCGGGGGAGGGTAGAATATAACAGCGCCATGGATGGCAGCTACGGAGGCCAACGTTAAGTAAGAACAAGTGAAATGCAGCTAGCCCTAGTGAGAGGTGTCATCGGTTGCGGCTACCTGCTTGCCGCATGTTCTGTGGCTTGCTCGGTGAAGATCTTGAGCGTTAATTCCGTTGGGTGCAACGCAGCAAGGGTCCAACACAGGTGCAGCGCTTCGAATAAACTCTGTCATACCAAGAAAGATATGATTTTATTGAGTATTGTCCGCTTACTCCACTGCAGTATGACTGTGAACAGTGCCGTTCATGAGCACAGTAATGGGGCACCCAGACGCGGAAGACTACCGTGAGGCCTAACCGAGATAGTGCGTCGTCCCCACTCACAACTTTGCACCTTGCTTCTTGGAGGGTATCACTGAGAAGAACAACAGAGGCATCAGAACATGATGTTGTCACAACAATCATGCTTCTATTATTTCAGCTCAAATTCAGCAGTCTCAAATCGATATTCTTGCCAAATTCCGTCCCTCTCCATCTTCCCCGCGTTTGCTTAGCAACAAATCGAGTGGCCTCGGCCGAGCCCCATGGTCTAGTGTAGATTGTACGCCACAACTCGGGATGTGATACCCCTCTGGTGGGTCTAGCATGGCCAAGGTCATGCTACTGCCCTGACTGGCGGATTCGTGACCTCAGTCCCTGCTCACTATACGGTGGAGAGCTTGTGCAACGAAGTTCGTCATGCTCTCGCATTCGTGAAAACTAAACCATTCCGACCAGCTTGTGTGCTGAGAACGTCGTACAAGCGTTGCGCATACCAACGGTTATTGCACTAAGTCTGGTATTGTAGGCGACGTTCTTTTTCGCGTTGCGGTAGCGTTGGTAATCAGATCGTGGTGCTGTATGCGAAGCAGATGTTGCAAGACCAGGAGTCGTGTGCCAAAAGTGCCGTCGTTTGGCAAAGTCTGGTATTCTTCGACCGAAGGCCAACAATCTTCCTTTCATGAGACAAAATACCCCTATGAAGCCTTCACCTCATATCATGGCACCATGCCGATAACAAGGCTGAGGCAAAGGCTCTGTGACTTCGTAGTTGCCGAAAAAGTCAACGCTACTCTTTCTCCTCTCCTCCATCGCATCTTCCAGATCACGGCTGATGCAAATTTCCATGCCTCCACTCTGTTCCGTGCCCTTCTTCTCCGTCGACATCTTGTAGCCCACACCCGCCGAAGAGTTCGTCGTTGCCGAAGTCGGGCTAAGGTAGGTAGAAGTAGTCGTCTTCTTCTTTCCAGGCACGTCATTTTCGCCGAGTAAACCAAGCCAGGGCAGCTCTGCGCAGCGCTTGAACACGTCTTCGAGGTCAAAGAGGTCCTGCATGGAAAGACTGTACATTTTCCCGCTCCGGAATTTCCAGAAGAAGAGTACTGATAGCTCGATCGTCTCGATGCACTGGAGCGACAGGGCGATCTTGTCCATGGAGGCAAGGAGATTCTTCGTCATACGTGTCTGGTCTTTCATCATCCGATCTCTCCCTCCGTTTTTCAGCGTCGTGTAGTTCCATTCAACGTAGAAGCGTATATGTGTTACATGCTTCAACATCGGCAGTTGCAGGATGTGCTGCGAGAACTCGAAATAGTCGTTGTTCGTCCGCGTATTCCGTAGTTCAGCATGTAGAGTGATCTTGCTGCGGCGAAAGTAGTTGTGCAGCAGCTCGTCCCGGATTTGTTTGTTGATCAAGAGAAGCTCAGGCCGTAGTCGTGATGCTTTGGCTACGGAGGATCCATATCCAAAGATGTCGTGTCTCCAGGGTTCTCCGTTGGACATCTCAGCACCCCAGAGGCAAGTGTGAAGTTCCGGACGAATCCTTGTGGGATCAGGTAACACATAGTTGAATATTTGGTCGCGGATCTCTCTTGGAAGGGCCAAAAGTGGTGAGCTGAAGGTGCTCGGTGTGAGTTCGAGCAGAATTTCCAGTTCTCGGAAGAGCATGCTTTGACGATGCTTGTAGAGACCATCGGAGCTTCTGTTCGAAGAGACTGAAAGCTTATTGCTCGATCGCTGCTGTATGGTCGCCATGGCGTATGCAGGGTCCGTTAGTTCCAAGTGGAAGGAACGCTGTCGTTTAGTTCCCGAAGATGTGATAGTGGTTGCAGGTTGGTATCCCGGAGTATTAGAAGGTTCAATATACGGGGTTCGCCGCAGGCTTTCCAGAGCTCGAAGACGGGCAATGTCCCTGTGTGAGCATGGGAAGTTGATCGGCTAGGTACAAAACGTCGCCGCGAGTGATCTTATGGAACGTTTCGAGAGAAAGGAGAGTATCTGCGACGCCATGGCTGTGCAATGCGGCCGAGTCATGTGTGAGTGGTAGCTCGCCTGTGCGCAAGGATCGATTGCGGCACCCGTGCGAGCATTGAAAGTGGGGTGTCTGTATCACGTGTCAAACGGGAACGCGAGATCTGGCCGGCACAGAGTGTTTCAGCTTGGCGCTTCGAACCTCCTGCATTCGCAGCCCTTGGATGCATGAAGACCTCAAACGCTTTGGGATGACATTTTCTGCGTGCCATGGTCGTCCGCGGGCTCCACGGCCATGCTGTTCCGCTCGGCAGGAAAAAGCATGCTCGCGTGTATGGCATTCTGACGGGAATCATGATCGTTCCCAGGTTGTGCGCACTGAATCCGAGGAAACTATTATTATTCCGCCTTATTGCGCGTCATCTATATTTAACAACAAGCGACCGAAATTCGCGTCATCGCGTTGCGCCTTTCGACGTCTAGGGGTATCACAACAAACAAACAAAAAATGCTCAGACGCTACGCATGCTTCTCCACCTACTCAGCCGATTCTGAATCAAAGCACTGGCAGTCGGCAATGCTACCACCAGGTCTCCACCCGCTCAACAGAGTCGGGCATCGCCATGCAACATCCATGTCTGAGCACTGAAACAGCACATTCCATATCCTCTCCATTGTGTATCCGAACCAGGGTTGGCTCATCGAATCGGGTCGTTCTTGAAGGTAGGGTTCTTGGTGTGCCCAGCTGTGCTCGTCGACAAAGAGCTGCCACAAGTCGTCGTAGATGGACTTGTTGATACCGCGAATGCGCGCAGCAGTGACAACGAACTGGCCTTTGTAGCTGAGCAGCACGTTCTCACGAGTGGATCCGTCGATGCGGGATTGTACGTCCGCGAACAGCGATGTCTCATCACGCCAGCCGCGCTTGTCCCCACAGTCGTCGCCATTGCATAATATCCCCGCCCAACCCAGGTTAAGGAAGCCTGTCTGGTTCGCCCGGAAATATCGCTCGAAGAATGGGTAGAATTCTCGTGGGTTGTGAACGTCGGCTTGGAGGAAAATCGTTCGTTCCGCAAGGCTGTCCCAGCGGTTGACGATGTGGTTCAGGTAAGTCTCGGCTTCGCGTCCTATGTTTGGTAGCTTGATGACTTCGTGCGCGTTCGTTTCCGCTTTGATCTTTCTTTCGTCTGCTTCGCCGTCCTTCAAGTAAATCGTAACAAGAGCCTCGGTCATTTGTGGCATGCTCTCCAACTTCTTGATGAGCGCAGCAACATCCTCAGTGCGCTCTTTGTACATGCTGATCACAACTTCCAAAGGCCCAATGGGTTCGTATTGTAGATCCAGGCGCGGCTCCTCCCGAGGGTATTGTCGTTGTCCAAAGTTCAAGCTCACGAATGCTGTCCACAGCACGATCAAGACCAAGCTGACCAAGGAAGAGCGAGCACTGCTGCCCTGCGATTTTGGCCGTGATGCTCGTTGTGCTTTGGTACCAAAATCCTCCTCGTCATCGATCGGTGCATTCGGGGAGCGTGAGACGAGATCGTAACTTCCGCGGGAGCCATCGTGACGACCGGACTGTTTCCAAACTGTGTCGTAGATGTCTTTTCCGCAGGCGCACATGATGGCGAGGAAAAAGCATGATAGTTGGTAAAAGCTGGTGTAGGATCGGCGCGTTGATAGAACGGTGAACGAGCCGGTGATAGCTGCCATGGCTAGAATTGTCGTGGCGCTGCGGACGCGTTGTGTTGCGGCAAAGCTGCTTCCGGGTAGTTGGCCTCCTGACTGCATGTCCATTGGGAAGAGTATCGAGCCCCCACTCAGCAATGCCGCTGCTGTTGAGAAGGCATTCAGACTGCGGAGAGGCAGGCTGCTTGTGTCGAATGAGTCCCAGTGCTCGCCCGGGAAGTTGCTGACAAGACAGAACAATGCAAGCAGACCGCCCATAACAACGAGCAACATTGCGTTCATGCTTCGGGTAGCATATTCTCCTGGATAGTGTCTAGCAGCAAGCTTCTTCAACGCACTTGCTGCACCAACGAGGAGCATTGCCAAGATCGATGCGATCAAGCTTGGTACCATTAGTCGGTATTCCATGAACAGAACACCAGCACAAGCTGTGGCAAGCAAGCTCAAAGACAGGGTTTCTGCGTTTGAGCGAGGTGTGTAGTTGAACACATAGAGAACTACACCTTCAGCGAAGAAGGCTATGGTCTGATATGGTCAGCGGAGCGCATGTCAAGCTTGCTCTAGAGAACATACCGTGATCATACATAGCAGCGGTAGATTCGAAGTATGCAGGACTGCTTGCACTATGCAGAATGCAGATACCGCTTGCAGGAGATTCGAAGCGGCCAATAACAGTCCACCTTGAACAGGTCGTTTCCTACGTTGGTCTTGCTCGCTGGCATGTTGAGCGCTCGGTCTCCATGGATGGAAAAGGAAAGCGACTAGGGCCGTAGCCGCGATCTGGGTAATGTACAGTTGCAAGGGATAGTGCAGATTTCTTTCAATCAACAGATGCCGTGTGGTGAGCAGCGAGGTCGTAGCGCATGCCAGCCAGCCAAGCTGGCGATAGTCCTGGAGTCGGTCGCATACGGTCCGGCGTTGGAAGGGAGACTCCTGGTCTTCATCGATGCGTTCGAGACGGCCACGCGCGGTCATAGTGGCGTTGATTCGAAACCGGGTGTGGTGTGAAGGAAGTGCAGAGGGAGACCGAGTTCGATCGTGATTTGCACCAAAACCTTGCTCGGACGCCTGATCGACGTGCAGGCCATGGGTGGAAGCGAGTCTATAAAGAGTTGTATGCTGCGGGCAAGACGTGTGATAACGGGGGTGTGGGCCAGCTTAAACGGGCCTGGTGGACCTGAGTAAAAGGTAGAAGGCTGTGGAGTACCGACAGGCAGGGACAGTAAGGTTAGTCTGCGGTCATGGCCTGACAAGATCAACGTTAAAAGTCTTTCAGAGACAAAAGGATCCTTTTCATGTCAGAATTGGCATCGACAACAGGCCCAGGTCCAGACCCGAGCAGCGGTTGGAACGCTTGTATGTATTTCAGCCACATGGGCTCACCGACGCATCAATTTCAGAATGCGCATCTAGTCACAGTGGGGGGATGGAGAGGCGCAGCCTGTACAGTACACGCATCGCGCGCCATGAGGCATACCGCCCTTGTCGACGGGTGCGTGACAGCTTTAGGCCCCCGTGTGCCAAGGGGAGGCCTTATGTAGATCGTCTCATCCCCTGTAAACTCCATGGTAAATTTCTTGTAGGAAGTCGACAGCTGTTGACTCTGACGTACGCCGCACATTTCTCAGATTCCGCTCTATTTGACTCTTGATCTCAATATATTGCTTCCGTTCATGTCGTGTCAATCGCACCTCAAGAGCCCTGAGAAAAGGGGCGCTGTGGATGAGACCCGCTTGGAGCCAAGCCGGGATGGGGCGAGCGAGAAAACGTCAGCCTTGGTCCAATCAGCCTCAGCATGGCTAATTGCGAAACTCGGGTCCGCCTAGTATGGAACATTGGGGCTTGAGCTTGGTGGAAACGCGTGCGACGGCGTGGACTTGTGAGAGGAAGACGAGAGGTTTCCAGGGTCTATCGTGGGGAAAGACAAGACGTTGCTCAAGTTCCACGAGGCGTGTCGTCGCACCTGCCACGCGACGAATTGGTACCTAGGTAACCACCAGCAACCCAGAGTCAGCCTCGCACTTTGTGTTGAGCAGTCCCACATGCGGATTTTACTTTGCTAAACACTTCGAGCTGCAAAGCCGTGTTGCGAGCCTCGCCTGCAATCCTTCTGTCGTATCCTCCTTCCTTTAGCGGAGCAGGGAGAGGGGCCTGCTGGGTCTCGCCAAGACGGGTGCTTTCCGATGTATCGGGGTCTAGAAAGCCCTCCCCAGCAGCCGCAAGTCGACATCTTAATCTTCGAGATGCGATTTCATCGAGAGAGTATGCCCTGCAAGGATGCGGATTTCCCCAGAAGCGTGTCCTGCGCAATCACCACACCGCAGTGTCGCCGAGAGCAACGTCGCCGACCACAAGTCGACCACGTCTACTATGTATTGCTGATGCATTCCACGATCTCATCAGCACGACCCGACTCCAAGGTTGCCAACCCTTCGCATGACTCTTTCCGCATCAGCGACAACACCAGTTTCATCGTCAGAGAACCCTACAGATTCTGAGCCCAGTTTCAGGATCAGTCCTCGGGATCACGTGTTTTCTTTTCGACCCAAGGCGCGACCTCTGGAAATGCGATTGGTTCATCACCATAGTGGAGAGAACTTCCTGAAGTGGGACGATCACTGTTAATGTGTTTACATTAGGATTAACTACGGAAGCTACCAAGGTATCATGATGGCCTTCCGATTGATTATTTGTTCGTTATTCTAGTTTCCGATAATGCCCTCTACCATGTCCACGACACCAGAGAGTACGCTCTGAATGACAGGATACTTTGGAAGATACGGGTTGTATACCTTTTGACATCTGCCATTGTAATCGGCTGTGTTGCCAATTTCAACAGTAAGCTCGTCTCCAGGCACACCAAGCTTCGCAATCGGGCCGCTGCGAGGAGTGGCCTTTTCCCATCCAGGACCAGCGGCGGGGTTCTTGATGAACTCGACGAACCAGTCGTTCTGGAAGTCAGCAAGCGCCTGTTCCTCGGCAGTCACTCCCTCAACACCAGCAAAGGCACCGTTGCCTCCGAAGAAGAAGGGAATCTCAGCGCCGTGCGTTGGGTAGTCGACAGGCAGAGGCAAGAGGTTGGAGTAGTTGCCGAGGAAGCGGTATGACCAAGTGTCTTGGGTCTCGCTGCGCAAGTCGATGAAGTGGTCGACAGGGCAGAAGAAGCGTGCATCACCGTACTGGGCGCCGCTCATTTCCGAGACACTGGAATAGTCGGCGATGTCGTACGCGGCCTCGATGATGTTGTTTGGGATCTCGGCGACGTCAGCATCGAAGGTCTTGAGCCACGCCGAAAAGTCTGTGTTCTCGCTGCCGTACACCAAACCGAAAAGGGCGCCCTCTTTGTCGGAGTTACCCGTCAGGAGGGGTACGTGGGAAGCGTAGTTACCGGCAGCGAACCGCGCAGCATAGTCCTGGTAGCGTGTCTTCTCGTCGACGACAGGCGTGAAGTACGTGTTCAAGGTGGCGTTGAAGGCCTCGGTTTGGAAGGCGTACATGTCCACCTTGCGCAGGCACTCGAGCTGTCCTGCACCAGTTGCGCAGCCAACCTCTTTGGCAACGAGGTCGAGCGCTTCGTTGGTGGGACCGACGGCAGGGCCAGACTTTGCGTTGGCAGCCATCTGAACGGCCCCGACGAGTGGTGTGTTGGGGTGGTTCCAGAGGTAGTGGTCGACCTGAACAGAGCCAGAAGAATGACCTCCGAACACGACACGGTTGGGGTCACCGCCAAACTGGGCGATGTTGTCGAAGACCCATTTCAAAGCCTTGTCGACATCGAGAATGCCAAAGTTCTGCGACTCCTCGCCATCGACAAGTTCGGCAGAGTTGGGGTATGCCCAAAGACTCTCACGAGTGTTGAAGCTAACGAAGACAACTCCCTTGCGAGCGAAATTCTCTCCGACGTAGGCTGGATTGCTGCTTGAGCCCGTTACCTAAAGATGGGTGTACGAAGTCAGTTTTTGTCTCACATGCAGTTCGTACATTGGCAATTACTCACCATCGCGCCGCCATACCTAAGAAATTCTCGTCAGCATTGGCTCCACATACAGTTCGTACAGGGAAATCACGTACATGTAGACGAATACCGGAAGACCACCGGGTGCGTCTAAGCCTGGTGGAGAACCCGGTGGACCTGGTGGGCCTGACGGAGGGCCTGGTGGATGGTGAGGTCCATTCGGTTTATGAGGCATCGGCGGCGCCCGTGGCAGCTTACTGTTCGAAGATGGCGCCCAGATGTTGAGGTTCAAGCAATCTTCATCTTGCTGGGAGTATGTTGTACCGGTAATGGCCTGTGGACATGTCGCACCATACTTTGTGGCATCGAGCACTTCGCCCTTCTTCAGCTTCTTGACGTCCTTGGGAGCCTTCCATCTACGCAATGATCAGTAAACCGGAGGCGATGCAGGACCGCCATTACATACCGGTTCTGTCCCCCAGTTGTCTGCGCAAATGGAATGCCGAGGAAAACAGAGTTTCCATAATCATCAGTGAAACCCTTCACAGTTCCCTGATCGAGGGCCGCCGTTCCATCCGCGACGGTTGCTCTTGAAGGTTTCGGAGGTAGCGGCGTGGCAGCCACCTGTCCGAGGAAAACGCCTAGCGAGAGGCTTTGCAAGCCAATCAGAGCCGAGGGAACCTTCATGACGCAGGACAGGGAAACACGATGTTGGGTAAGAGATAGAGTTTGGCGGGAGGCTGTAGATCGTGTTTGGGCTTACACATGGCTATATAGGGCACCACTTTGGCGGGCTGCCACCAGCTGGAACGAGTTCTCGCCGCCAACAGCACAGCAACACCATGTAACGTCCAACTGCCGAAGATTGCCCGGCGTGGAGCCTGAAGGAGCCGCGAGGGAAAATAGGGCATTTTCATCTCCGTCTCTGCAGATTCCGCAGGATCCGAGGTCCGATCAGATTCAGGGACCGCAAAATTGGAAAGCTAAGCGAGTCGAACCAATCGCAGCTACCGTGCGGCATCCATGCTAGAAGCCCGGCTGAGACACCAAAAGCGCTAGAAGGTGACGGTACCAAGGTAGAACCTGTCGGCCTCGTGCGCCATGTGTCTAGTTCTCGCCTTCCAGACCGGTGCTCCCTGTCGTTCATCGCCATGCGAGCTAGGATGCTTGCATCCTCATCGGACCGAACCATGGAACCTCGATACGGATCTGAGCACAACCCTTCTCATCCTCGCACCCATGACCCCGAGGCCAACGACGATTTTTTGCCATCCATTACTCGGTAGTCTCTTCACATGCGAGCAGTGGCGTATGGTTTCCCACTGCCCCGTTCGGCGGACACGATGCTATACATGTAGTTTTGTCGTCTCGAGTCAGATTCTTCCAACCAGCGTAGCTGAACCTGCTCTAACGCATGAAAACGTTGCCACTCAGTAGCGGCCGTAGAAGGGTTTCGCAGCTCAATTTTGGCTACCGACTCTAGCGGCCGAGACCTCTCAGATGCTTGCCAGCTTACGGTTGGTTGGGCTTTGGGAGGTCCCCTGATGCTATCATGCCACAACGCTACGGGACGGCATGCTAGTTGCACAACCCGCAACATCCTGTAAAGTTACTTTAGGGGGTCGTTTGCCCGTGGAGTAGAGAAAAATGGTACTTGTTGCGGCAGCCCCGCTGTCAATCGACGTTCTACTCACCCTCGTCACACTCTCCACACACTGTTCTTGGATCTCCAACTAGAGTGGAGCGAGCAGGCTCGAACTCCTCACGGCCTTTTTCTCGGTGACAGCCACACAAGCAAAGCAACATGGTGGACAGTGAGCTCGGGCAGGTGGTAAGTCCTCCTCTTCCTGCATGCTTCGTATATTGTATGCAGTGCTGATTCAGTTGACAGGTGTCATGGTATATCTGTACCGTAGCCACGGTGCCTTTTGTCGCGCTACGCATGTATGCGCGATGGTCGAGACTGGGCAACCTCGGAATTGACGACTATCTGATCCTACTCTCTCTGACATGTCTGATCGGAGACCTCATCATCCAGCAGCACATGTGGAACCTAGGGCTGGGCGACATGGCGTCAATAACCCCAGAAAACTTCAAGGGCATAATGCAGATGATCATCCCCGGATCGACGCTCTACGTTTCCTCACTATGGGCGATCAAGTTTGCCCTGGTCTTCTTTTACAAAAGCCTGGCTGCTCCCGGCTCCCGTCTGGTCCTTGTGTATAACTTCACGCTTGCCGGATTAGCTGTCACCTACCTCGTCATTTTTTTCGACATCATCTTTCAGTGCTTCCCCCACGACAAGCGATGGTCGAATAACCCAGCCTGTGAGCAAAAGCAAACCCTGACCCACATGTATGCGAACGGTGGAGACTGACCATGCGCAGATCAATGCAGTCCCAAAGCCGCCGAGATCAACTATTGGATCACCATTTGCTTCAACATCGCAACCGACGTGTTCATCATCTGCCTGCCCATAACCATGGTCTCCCGGCTGCAGATGAAGCTGAAGCAAAAGCTCGGTGTAGCCGGAATCTTCGCCTTGGGTTTCTTCGTGGTTATTGCCAGCAGTACGTTCCCATCAGATTCGAGATGAACTGGAACCAGACTAACATATCGCCAGTCGTCCGAGCCTACTACTCGCACAGGAACGAAACGATGCTAACGTGCACCGTCTCCATGATCGAAACAGCCATCGCCATAATCGCCACCTGTCTCCCCGCGCTCCGCTCCATGATCCTCGGCACAAACAACACTACCAAAGACTCCGCCAACAGCTACGGCCGCCACTACGAACTCTCGTCCGCGCGGCGAAAAGCCAGCGGAAACCGTCTGACGGCCTCGAATCAGATCTCCGGTGGTCTGCACTCCACGCACGATACCCGGAATCGAGCAAACGGATCAGAAGACTCGCTCTTCACAGATCCGCCGTCGGATCAAATAGGTGGCGTCGAGCAGTTTGTGAGCGGGAAGGGGATAACGGTTAATACCCAGATCGAAACCATGTTTGAGGATTCCAGCTCACGAAGCAATATTTCTTCGAGTTCGACAAAGGCGAAATCGCCGTTCAATTAGTACACGAAGTGAAAAATAATAAACTCAAATGGTAGCTTTGGAGGCAGCGATACCTTAATATATGTAGTCAACGAAGTACTGAATCATTGAACGATAGCAGATATATTGCATGAGTGGGGTGGCTGCTGCAAGAGGCTGTGATGAGCGGTGTAAAGCCACCGGCTGTGCCTGCTTGCGGTGAAAATAGCTACTGCTCAGATCGCTTTTTGCCCTACGAAGTGTGCGTTGAAACGGCGCGTTTGTGTGTGTGCGGCGGTATTGGCCGCGGCAAAGTTTCCCGAGTGGAGAGGTTGTGATAGCATGAATCGGGCGGACGGCCTGTTTAGGAATGGGGATGATGAACACCAAAGCGTTCGAAGAAAGTCAGGGCGATTTACTGTGTAGTGACGCTGATGGAAGTTTGTTGAAGAAGAATTGTAATGTATTGAGAAAGTGATAACGTTGAAGCCCGTATGCCAGATAATACCAAGAGAAAGAGGGCGTCTCAACTGCCCTCACAAACGCCGGAGTGCCCTCTAAACGCCAATCATGCAGCTCATGGGCCTGTAACATGCCCGAGCAGAGATACTGTACACCAAACTGCCGGAACTCCACCTTCTTTCAAGGAGGCTCTTACACCTCTAGTCCGCCAACCATGTAGAATAGCAGATAGGCCTCTGCAGCAAGGACCTCTGCCTCGCTGACCAGCACCACCTTGCTGTCGTCGAACATGAACCAGTCGTTACCCTCCCTGCTGTAACTGACGTAGTGTCCAGAGTCGATTTTGCCCTTGTGCACGATGACACTGCTTAGTTCGTATACGAGGGCGTTCGCCGGGCTGTTGACGTTGTGGTTCGAGAGCGGTGCGCCGGAGGTCTTCACGGCGCGCATGGCGGCTTTGTGGGAGGTCGTGTAGGGATATATGTCTAGCTTGACAGGGAAGCGAACGGGGGTTTCGATCTTGGAGGACGTGGATTTGGTGTGCTCGAAGCGCTGAGTAATTGTCAGTATAGAGACGCTGCGGACGGCTCTTGGTACTTACCTTGAGGTGGATGGAGAGAACCGGTGGTAACCTCTTGATGCTCAGCTGCTTGGTCGCATTCTGCGGACTGTCGCAATTTCGACATGTGTACTCTGCTGAGCCCAGCTTCTCCTTCACCGTGAAGCGTTCGAGACAGTCCCTCAAATCCAAAGGTGTCTCTTCACCCTTTTCTTCCTTGATCTTCCGTTTCTTGCCTTGTATCCGCACGTCCAAACTAAGGTCCATATACGGGTCTTGCGCCGTGGTCACATTGCGACAATTGTCGCATGTCACCGTACTTGAGAGCTTCCCGCAGAAGGCCTGATGTACCACGCACTTGCAATCCTCCGAGTCGTCTGTCGATCCGCCGTTCGCCTGGTGCAGCGTGTTGAGTATGAACTGCATGTACTCGTGCGCATCCTGCTGCTGGTATCCTGCGAGAGCTTCCCCCGCCAGCCAGCTGCCCATGAGCATGCTGACGGCGCCAAAGCCCTCTGTCTTCTCAGCTGAGTGGAATTCGACAAACATCTCGTCCAGCGCACAGCTCACACATGAGTCCCTCTCGCACTCTGTCTGCTTATGACCTTCGGAAAGATAGAAGTTTCGTATGAACGGGTTGTGGACGAGGGTTTGTAGGATGACGCTCATGAAGCATGTCTGGCCCATATTATAGAGCCCACGCAGGCCTATCGCGCGGCAGGGGAGGAAGGTCGAGTTGCTGATTACGAGCTTGTGGTCTTCGGTCGTGGTGTTGTCTTCGTACTTTCGCTTCTTGCCTGTATTGTAGTCAGCCAATCTGATTCTTTCAAGCATGAGAATACCGCCACACACCCTTCTGTACTCTCAGCACGTCCAACGTCTCGTCGTAGATGAAGTCCTGGCAATTGCCACAGTATATGTTGCCGTCTCGTGACTCGACAGCTGCTTCCTGTTAGCCCTTTGTATTCCTAGGGCATTGTCTAACCCACAGAAACAGTGCGACTTGGTCTCGAAGTGCAAATCGCGATCCACCTCGGTCATGATGCTCGGGCACTGCAGGCACAGGTACAGCGGCCTCAGCGACACAACGTTGCGCGCATCCGCCGGCGCAGTGTACGTCTGCGCTATTATGCTCGGTTTCTCGTGGATATTCTGGAGGATGGCCCGGTAGTGCTGGAGCGTCTGCTTGCGCGCCTTCTCGAACATCTCGCCCATGTGCTCTGCCATGTGTTAGCAGCCTCCTCTGACAGTCTGAATGGCAGAGCGCTTACCGCATCCATACGCGATATGCGCCATCTGGCTGCTCGGCACAATGTTGCCCTTTGCATTCTTAACAATCTTGGGCGACGCCAGCGCCGACGCCTTGGGGGCCACTGCGATCGTGTCCATGGTGCCGGAGGTTTCGAGCCTTGGTATAATAGACGTGCTCGCGCTCTACATAGTGCAGGATTAGAAGGTTATCGGAAGCGCTCGCCAGCAGCACGGGCGCAACACTTTGGTGGCAGCGGCGCTCACGATGCGCGGCTTGGGGAGTTATTTCTGGGGTTGAAGCGGACCTGCATGAAACCAATCAGCAGTGCGCCGCTAGCGGATCTCCCGCCCACGCATCGTGCCGAGCCCGATGAGAAGACATTACCATCACACTGCAACTTTGATGTAATCCTCCCAAGTCCCACTTCTTGTATTCAACCCGTGTATCCTTCGATTGTGATTACAGGCCTACCCTCTACAGTATATCTCGCGATTTCAAAACTTACTCACTCCTCCCTTTTTCGTTATTTCCTCCGCTTCAGGGCCTTTCCCTTGCTCTTTGGGGTCTGCATCTTCAACTTGTAGAACAAGAAAAAGCTTAGTCAGGGTTGATGACAGCGAAAGTGGAGGCGAAGGCGGAGGAGGTGTGAAGGGCAGAGAGGGTCGCAATAGCGGGAGTGGGGGTGTAAGAGGGCGCACGGGAGCGACAAACTTGGGCGGGAAAGGAACGTTGTCTGTATTCTCGTTGGCGAACTTAGGGAGCTTCAGCGGGATGCGGCTGCTCGCGCAGGTCAGACACATTTCGATGCTACACGCAAATGAGTTTCACTATACCTACCTATTGCGCTCCAAAATGACACGAACTGGCTGATAATTACTTCATCTCAAAGGTACCTACGTATTACGGTGAGATGTTAATGCAGAGCAGAGCAACAGAGCGCGGTCAGGGAACTGTTGCCCAGGTATGCGAAGTTGTATTGAGCTCTATGGAAAAGAAAGAAGATCCCGCTCAAGGTTGTATGCGCGTAACACGACTGCACTGTTATATGAAGAGAAATGTGACTGGTAAGTGCAACACGTGGGAGAAACCCTTACCAACAAGCTGCCGTCTGAACACTTCGACGCGTCTCTCTAGACCCTGCTCTACGTTTTCCGCGACATAAGAGAACACCGAATCACAAAGTGCAGCAACACGAAATGGCGATTGTTCTGATGAAGTGCTACAAGTGAGGGCGCCGAAATTGTAGTTTGCAGAATACACGTGCCAAAATACAGCCAATGTGCTATGCTACAAGAATACGTAGGCGCCAGACAGCTGTATCAACAGACCGCAGCCGGATTTTCTGCTACCTCTTTACCTCTCTCTGAATGCTGCCGCGTGACATACCTTATGGATCAAACAACCTTAGTTGATAGTATAGGCACTTGGGAATAGATACTCGTCGCAGTCCTAGGTACAACGGATGTAGCTTACTGTAGGCTCTTCGGCATTCTGCCATCCTTTCGCCGTTTTGGAGCCTCACCTTCAATCTTCTTTTGCGCTTCTCTCTCCATCTGCAACCTGTTCTACTCCATGATGAATCTCTTTCTGGTAGCCTTGCACGCTTCTGTTCGATGGCAATATCTGATGGCGGATGTTCTTTTGTTTGAGATAGTCGACGTACGTGGCGACGCCTGCGGATCCGACGAGGAGAGCAAGCTTGGAATGCGACAACTCAATGAGCTGACGGACCACGAGTTTCCAATACATACCTAGATTGGTCGGGACCTGGTCGACGATATTCCCTAGACCGAGCGCAAGGTTTCGGTTAACTCGCCTGGGGAATACGTCCAAGTGGAGGGCGCCGTGGTTTCTGATCGAGGATACGTTGTGGCCAAGCTTGGCGTATAGCATAAACATCGACTCGTTTGAAATGTCTAGGGTGGTACCATACGATCGATGCACGGTGCTATCCTCCTTGGCAGTGGGGTATGAACTGACAATGAGAAGGGTATCGCGGAGGCTTCCAGTAGGTTTAACTGCGTGAGCGTAATTAGCTTGGAGGCTATCTAACTTCACGTTAACAACTTACCCAAATTGCTCTCGCTCATGTCAATCCAGTTGTCCATTGTCTCCGGGAGCTCAATAGCATGTTCGCCCTCCACTGCCTGTCCCCATGCGAAGTCCATGTCCGGATACGTAAGCGGCCAGGTGGACGGATGTCGCTCTCGGCGGGGTATAACGAAAGGCGGCGATGTGCATGCGTGGTCATAGACTGTCGCAAGGAACTCTTGAACTCCTGGTAAAGTTAGTACACATGCGCTTTACGTGCTGTAGAGTAGAGCTTACCATCTTCTTGGAGGTCTGGCAACAATCGTTCTACCAATTTGCGGATTTCGTCGGCGGTTAGCTCACTGAACAGGTCGTCATCTGTTAGGGAGCATCAGTCAACGATGTCAGGTATCGTGCATTCGTCAATGATGCTAGTTGTGGGATCCGCGTCGTCAAGTATCTGCTCTGTCGCTCCGGTGTTGTTGGTGAATACCGTAAACGCAGGGGGTCGTTTTGCTTTCGTTGTTGATGATCGAGTCCGCGCTGTCTGGTGTCCTGGTGGCGGTTCAGGTAGTTGGGACGGTAATTCCGACAGTGCTCCAGTCAAAGGCGCGTTGCGAGCTCTTGAGGCTGCTGCCGACAGTACTGTATTCTTGGGTCTCTTCGCAGGTGGGGAGTTTTCTTTGTTGGATGAGCGCGGTGGCGGCAAGGTAATCGAGGTCTTGAGGATGCAATGCGTTTACTGGCACACGTAAAGGACAGATGGAAAACGTAAAGGACAGATAGAAAACGCTCAAAGCACGAGAGATTTGAATATCACATACCCTGAGTGCTGTGTGCCAGAAGCGAGTGAAATGAGGCAGTCGTGAGAGGCATGAGGCAGTTGGTAAGGGACCCACATCCAGCGCATCATCGATGGCCAACCATCTTCCCCGCGTCTCCTGGGTGAGTCGCATGAGGCAGTCACGAAAGAACCTATACCCAGCGCATCATTGATGGCCAACTATCTTCCCCGCGTCTCCTGGGTGACTGGCATGAGGCAGTCACGAAAGCACCCACACCCAGCGCATTATCAATAGCCAACTATCCTCCCCGCGTCTTCTTAGTAAGTGGCATAAGACAGTCGCGACATAGCTCTAATCCAGCGTATCAGGGGTTAGGTATCTTCTCTAGGATACTTTTAATAAGTGGCATAGAGTAGTTATAATAGAACCTTTATCCGGCTCATTGGGGTTAAGCTATCTTCCCCAGGATCCTCTCATTCAGTGGCATGAGGCGGGGACTACAGAATTTTAGATCTGAAAGTTATCCGATTGTCTAGATGATCACACACTAGCCCTACTCGTTATGAACATCCCTGAATCTCATCTAGTTAGCATAGTAGCTACACATATCCCGCTCTACCTAGATAATTTTGAATAATTTATTGTACTTTATTAATACCAGCATACGACACTGTGCCAGAGTGGTTTAATGAGTGTGATTTGAAAGAGCTTGTCTCCATCAGATCCTGGTATCAGATTCTGGCCGAGGCATCAAGCCATGATGTCAATGTGCATAACCCCATGAGATCGTATGTCCGCGACGTGGAATCCGAATTTTGCATATAGCATCCACATAAAAACGTTACTCATATCATCAACAGTGCCGTAGCGGTTGTGCACACTCCCTTCGTCTGATGCTGTCGGGTAGCTGGATATCAGTAGTAGCGTGTCGGTGAACGATCTAACTGGCTTTACAAGACCGTCTTCTGACATGTTAAGCCATTTAGGTAATAGACTTGCGTCACCGAGGTCTAGAGCCCGCTCGCCGTCGACCGCGTGTTTCCATAGTAAATCGAAGTCAGGGTTAACTAACGACCAGGTTGTAGGGTGTCGAGAGCGCGCCGGGATCCTAAATGGAGGAGACTTCTCAAGATGGCCGGCGATAGTCCTGTAGAAATTCTTCATCTTTCTTGATGACAGTGCAGGTAACACTTTCTCCACCATAGATGTAACCTCATTGGAGGTAACATCAATGTTGAACAGGTCCTTGTCGCGCAGTGGAATGTTGAGGGAGTACTGTGCCTCCCTCATGTCATCATCGTCCGCGTGGTGGATGTCGGCATCGTCGTCGGTCTGGTCGACATCGTCAAACTGGCTGTCCTCGTCCTCGTTGTCTTCGTCAGGCTGGTCGGCATCGTCCTCGTTGTCTTCATCAGGCTGGTTGGCCTCTTCCTCGTTGTCTTCATCAGGCTGGTTGGCCTCTTCCTCGTTGTCTTCGTCAGGCTGGCTGGCCTCATCCTCGTTGTCGTCTGAACTCATGAACATATCCTCTTCGTCGCCCTCGGGATCGCTGTAGTTCTCTGACTCAAAAACACTACCTGTGTCATCGTCTGTTGCTCCTGCTATGTAGGACTCGTGCAGGCTAGCATCATCTTCATCTGCGTGTCGACTGGTTGACCCTGCATGTAGTCGCTTTTTTGGCGCTTCTCGTAAGCCTGGTGTCCTGTGCGGGGGGCCGCGCCGCATCCGTGTCCTCGTCGTCTTCTCGTCGCCGTTTCCGCTGAGTCTTGATGGGCTTGGGTGGTTGGGCGGGGACGCCTTCCTTACTCTTTGGTGTAGTCTAAGTAAGACTGGGCTGGGTGTTGCGCAAGACGTAGCTGTCTATACTTTTTTACTTGTATGGGTCACGTTGGATCTTTCTTTTGGCCACAGTAGACACTCCTAACCTGGCAGAGTATGGGGGTGTAGCGGCGCGTGGACCTTTGGCAGCCTGAGTGTTGACAGTACGCAGCCACACTGAAGCGACGCTGCAAGTGAGGGAGTAAAGCAGGAGCGTGTAACGGCGCGTGAACCTTTGGCAGCCTGAGCGTTGACAGTATGTAGCCACACCGAGGTGATGTTACAAGTGAGGGGGTAAAACAGGGTAATGTAGCGGCGCGAGGACGTTTGACAGAGGTAAGGAGGGACGAATAGTGTTGAAGAAAAGTGGCTTCGCCGCCTAGCAAGCATAGCAGGAGCGAGCTTGACGTAGCTAGGCGGCGGGTGTAAGACGTCTTTCTGGGGAAGAGCGAGCGCGCTGGAGTTGGTTGTAGCCACTGCAGTGCGCGAAGTAGGAGCGACATACTAGTTGGTATGAGTAGTAGAAGGGAGGCCAACATCGCGAGATGGTTAAGATAATAGATTGCGATGTCAAAAAGTGAGCGCGCTAGGGGTATGCGCGCTGGAGGGAAGTGTAACAGGTGCAGTGCGCGAAGCAGAACCGAAGCACTAGTTAGCAAGAGTAGTAGGAGAGAGGCCGATATAGAGAGATAATAGAAACAATCGATTGCCATGATGACATCTTAACAACATTCCTTATTTGTTTTTTCTTCTTCCTCCTCTGGACTAACAGAATCCCATCACTTCCCCGTACTCCAAACCCCGTCCTTGCATACGGCTTGGTATTGTGGCTTTACTAGACTCCGGTTTGGTTGTCTTGGTGGCTCCCATACCCCAGCGCTCGAGTTCTTCTTGACTTTCCGTCCACTCATCCTCACTTGCCCGTGGGGTAAAGATGATGGGTTTCGGCCTCTGCTGTAGCAACGTAGGTGTACCAAGGTCGGTATGTGAATAGAGTGCCTGTCGTTGCGCGCGACAATGACCGATGGTGAGGTTGTGTCGGTCCGGTGTCAGGATGGTAGCGGCGGTTGTGCTGGGTGCAGCCATTGGATGGTAGTATGCTGATGACTAGAGTGGTTGCTGGCCAACGCCGAAGAGGCTTAAGCTGCGATGGTGACTTATAGGTCGAAGTGATGATTTGAATGATGATGATGTGCGCGTATCCTCGTAGGGAAACTTCGACTTTATATCACACTGCAAATGATCAGCGGAACGTGATGATCAAGGTATCACGCAGCAACCAGGGTAGATGAGAATCTTCGATGTAGTTCTCTGTATTGTGCTACGTATCCAGCGCTATCATACTGTATTGTCGAAGCTTAATATGATGATGGTGGTGAGACCAAAAAGTGGCGCCACCTGTTTGGGCAACCTCCGAGTAGAAGCCGATGGAAATGCTTGGCCGCAACGAACCAAGTGCAATCTGAGTTGCGAATACATTAGATACATAGAGCTTCGATGGGAGCGAGAAACAAATAGAGTATGGTTTAGTTAAGGATAGAAAGAAAAGCGTGCCGATTGAGCCAATGGATGGGTATTCTAGAAACAAGCAAAATGCGTCGCTGATAGTCATCGTCGGTCCAAAGGAAAGAAAGGCTCCCTACACATGGTTTAGTCAATGCGCGAAGATTCCGAGACAGGTGGTGAAGGAGGAGGCTGCGAGGTGTCTAGGTACCGGCGCTTCGCTTCCGGAAGATCATCTGCATCTTCGTTTGTGCGCTTCTGTGACGCACCCACCGAACCAGTCTTCGGAACAAGCGGAGAACCTCTCATCCTTTTGTTCTTCTCAACAACTCTCCTCCACTGTGCTATGGCGCGATAGGTGAACGTTACACGCTCAAAGTCCGTCGTGGGTGGAGCAAGCTCGATGTCTACCCAATCGACCCTTCTGAGACCTACCAGTGCCTTGTTGCCGAAGGCTTTGGCGAGATTCTTGGTCATGAAGTCGATCTGCTCTGGGCTCAGTGTCGAGTCCCGTAAACCGAATCGCAGCGTCAAATAGCCTTTTGGCTTGGGCCGCCAGTTAGACGTGTTGACCGTTCCTAGCTTGAGCGGAGCCAAGACGATATGTTGGTCACTGTGCTGTGTGCTTTTGCCGCGAGACCATATTTGCGAGGGTGTATCTTTGCGTCGTTCGTCCATGTTGATGCGCTGATGTAGACGAAAGGTCGATATTGCTCCCTCCGTGTCTGTCGTGTGGAGTTCTTTCAAAGCGTCAATGAGCGCACGGGTATATGACTTGTCACCAGGGGGCTCGGCCAATTGATCAATTGCGCAAGCGCTGAGGAGCTCAAACTTCTTTTGGCCTTCTCTGCCAGACTTGGCAAAGTTGCTCGCATAGCAGGTGTCTAGGATGGTCAAGACATCGCTCTCCACATCTTCGCTGCGTAGCCGGTCCTCTGCTTTGGTCCAGTTCGCACGGGCGTTCTTCCGGAATCCTCTGCCGAGCAGTACATTGTTGGGCCTGAGGCTGCCCGTGAGCTCCAAGCACTTTCTCTCCTCGCTGTAATCGCCGTGCCCTGTGTAGTATACGATGAGCAGATTTTCCGGTCCATCGTTGTCGCGTATGAAGTTGATAACGGAGCTTTCGAGCTGATGTTGAGGTTTTGTTTGGACGTCGAGCTCGACGATGTTTGACTTGTAGTGATAGCGTTCGCGGAAGAGGGTGTTGAGTTCTCGAGCCTAGTTCTGGTCAGACGAGGTGCGCCCAACGCGTTTTCTGGGTACAACATACCTCTACTCCGGTCTTAAGGTCGTCCAGCGCATCTGCCCACCTGATTATCAACACGGCAGCGCTGGAGTAGCCCTCGGGCAGGTCCATGTTCTTGGCGATAGCTTTGGACCAGCATTCCCGCATATCAGCGGCCTTTTCCTGGTAGACGACATCTGCTATGCTTGGTTTGCTCTCCCCTATGCGCTCGTCGCTCTGAATAGCTGGGCCGCTCGGTCCCGACTCGTCGTCAATCGATTGTATCCGTATGTCGGCATGGATGACTTTGTTTGGGTAGGGATTCGCAACGTGCGAGGTTATTTCAGTCGCCATCGCGTCCATGGCATGCGCCGTTGCGCTTGAGGAAAGAGCCATTGGGTAGAAGAGCTGTGAACCTGCGGGGCTCGACGTTCGCGGCGACGGGCCATAATGAGTGCCATAGTTCGCTGCAGCTTTCAGCCCCCATATTGGTGGGACATGCACCACGGCTCGACGAGTGCGGAGATGGCAGATGCAGCCTCGCCCCGCCAATCAGCGCTCCGCCAACTTCATCACCGAGCGTTGGGGTCCAAAGCTGAGCCTCCACCACCCCCAATTACAAAGAACCACCCTGCCAGGATTGACTGCCTGCATTTACCGCTTATGGCCAGAGGTCTGGCGCGATGACATGAGCTCACCACAGCTGTACCCGCAGAGTGCACTGTCATGCGATGTATACCGATGCAATCATCTGCATGCAACATGGCTAAGCCGCGGCTGTGCAGGCAATATGGGCCCCCAACCATAATCTGTACCGGTCACAACCCTCTGTTGCCTGGGGCTGCAGTAGGCAAACTGTCGAGAGGCCAGCAACAAGGACTTCTATAATAGCAGACGCTGCTACCATACTTCAGGGCATCATCCACAAGGCTCCCTGCCTCACTTCCCAACTACTCAATCACCATGGCTACCACATTTGATGAACAGCCTCTTCAGGCAGTCGAGGTTAGATCCCACGCTGCGTGGTTCCCGCTCCACGGCTGACTGTTAGCCACAGAACGAATACGTGGACGCCGCACCGGAAGATGCAGCTCCCCAGACCAAAGCGAGTGTAAACCCTGACCCGAACGCTGCTGAAGTAAGTCTTTCTCCAAAGGTTCAGGCGGTACACTCTAACTTTGTCTCAGCCAGTCGCGCGCTTCAGCAAGGGCGAAGTTGTGCGCAAACCAGTGTTTGCAAATGGCGAACGAACGACAGGCGTCTTCACCGTTTACGACCGCAAATTCAACCGTGCCAAGGGATACCATGAGTATCAACTCCGGGAGGTCTATTCCCTGGAGATGGCAAGTGGCTGGACCCGCGAGAAGGATCTGAAGCCTCGCAGCTGAGCTGTGCTACATTGCCTGAGGCTGAGCTCACCGGAAATCACCAGGCAGCTGTGATTCAGATGCGCACAGCCAATTGTGCAAGGGGAGTCTAAGGCGTTGGGGCTGAGTCTTACGGATACGGCGATCGCGCCCCTCAATTTCATGTCTTCAATACTACATACACTGCGTTCTTGCCACAGTTTGTTGAGCCACAGACAGCTAACTTTTAATGTTCACCTGATCGATCATTGCTGGTATTCGAAGGTTCCCGTCTTCTTCTTCACGCTTCTTCGCTTGTGTGCGGGCCGCGCCTTCCTTCTTGCATCACCATGGCCCCTCTTCGTACCATGACCGGGGATACTTTCACCGATAAGACACCTCAATCGCCAGTATCGCCAGTGTCTCCCACAAATACCGACGCGACCTTAACGGGGGACTTTATTGAGGGTGCTGAAGATAGCCATTCTACCATTCAGCCCCCAACGCGGAGAGACTCAGTTGACGTTGAGAGCGCACAGCCTGGTAAGCGATCCCACAAGATCCTTTTTGGCCCCCAAAACAAACTGACCCCGCTATGTATGGGGCCAGAAAGGTAAGGTCAGCGACGCAAAGCTCCTGCCTGAAGGAGCTTGCCACCGTCAGCTTACGCGTGCCCGATACGGTGGCCATGAGATGCCATATCAAGTTGATTGCATCGGCAGCTGGAAACTTACTGTGAGTCATCAAAGACTAACAAATCTCCAGAGAACGAAAAGAAGCGACCGAATTTCTTGCGACGAATCACAGTCCCTTTTCGCTCCGAGCCTGAGGCCGAATATGTGACTGAGAACGTCACGCGAACTTGTGAGTTATTATCACAACTGAGTCCGACTAAGCACTCATGAAAGTCAGTGGAAAAAACTCCCAATGGCTTCCCAAAACTTGCAGCATTCCAATCGAGTGAACAAAACTTCTCACTTTATCGCGCCTTCTCATATCTTCACTCACGTATCCTCCTTGATTTGCAGGATGAGATCACATCACTAGAACAGGAGCTGGACGAGATTGACTGGGATGACCACGACGAAGACCGCACTCGTTTGATGTCGAGGGATTTCGACAAAACCCAGCCTGATGGCGAGGGGGCGCCTCGCAGCCGACGAGTTGTACTGCGAGAAATCAAAGCCAAGCTAATGGAATATGGTATGCATTCCTATAGTAGCTCATCGTAGATGTAAGCCCATCAGTCAACGACTAACTGCTGCATAGATGATGTCCTCATCAAGGCAAGGACAGTGGGTTCCTTCCAGAAGCCATCAGATCGAAATTACCGTAGTGTGCGACGCTACTGTTACAACAGAAAGCCGCTCATGGACGCTGAGATGGAAGCCATTCGCAGCAAAGAAGACATTGTATCCTTGCACAATGGTCGTGAGTGGGCGACCTTCGACGGCGGTGTCGAGAGTCTTATCGGCCAAACCGACATACTCCTGCAAAAGGTCTTTCGAACCAATAAACTTCCACTACAAGTAAGTAGAAGAGAGAGTGATACTATGGGCAGTCATACTAACGAGCCATTAGAAGTACTTCCGTACCCCAGAAGCTCAGGAGAAGACAACAGACCCTTACGTCTCCCTCTACAGCAGCTCCCGCATCGACAAAGTTGTCAACATGCTCATCACATTCGTCATATTCTGTCTCCTTGTCGTTCCCGTCATCACCATGTACCAGTTGACCAACACTGCTGCACATGTGGTAACGGATGCATCAGGCAACACGTCCACTACCAGCCAAGTGGATATTGACAGTAGAGACACGTTCAACGCTGTGGGAGTGTTGATCGTATTCACACTACTTTTCAGCGCTGCAATGAGTCTGCTGACAAAAGCGGCGAGACACGAACTGTTTGCGGCATCGGCAGCCTATTGTGCTATCTTGGTGGTGTTCATTGGCAATTTCACAGGGCCTGGCAATTGATGCCGCTCTATCAACGATACTTACGAAATTATGATGATCATGATGACCCCTTGATATTTTATATTGCCGGTGCTTTTCGTTCTCAAACTATAACAAGGCTGCAGGCGACGGCGACTGTCGCACCGTGAGGCGGTTTCTGGAAGTTCTCGGACTTCTTTAATCCGCCACGACCTTCGTATCTTCGTATATTTCTACTTGCCGACAATTCGGGGATTGGACTCTCCCGAGATCCCGCTGACCGGTATGCGAAGCTTGGCGTATAGTCAGCCTTAATGCGAAGCTACCCAGTAGGCTTCTTAATCCAAGCCCTTTACTACACCAAGGCACATATGATTGGCATCCCTACTGCTAGTAGGCACACATCTGAACGCCGTTTAGTGCAGATGTAAGGTCTACAAGCCCTGGGCAATCGACTATCCGATACCTCTCACGTGAGATACCGCCCGGGCGTACCCAAGTATCGCTTGTGGCACATGCATTTGGTTTCGCGTCGCTTAGACGCAAGACACATATTTGAAGTGTCTGCCCGCGCCAAAGTTGATACGACATCGGTAAATCACCTTCTCCTTCTTCTTTGAGGCACCCGGTGATAGCTTTCGCTTTCTTAAACATGTCCTTCCTATCGAACTACTTCACTGGGCAGCGAGTCGCTCCTCCTCGCATACCCACGGATACCGTCATACCCCTCCACAGCCGCGACGACACGCATCAAAACAGAAACGTTTCAGTCGAATTCACCATGTGTTTTGACGAAGTTCTTGACGAGCGGAAGCTTGTCGAAGCATTATGGAGGCTGCTTGAGAAACCGGGTTGGAGGAAGTTGGGAGCGAGACTGCGCCTCAATACCAGCAACGATAAACTTGAATACCACATACCAGCACAGTACACCAAAGAACGCCCGCCAGTCAACTTCACGCATGGGATTTATGACTGCAAATTGAAGGACCATCCTCTTGGTTGCCAGATTCCTACTGCAAACGAGCGTAACGACAGTGTCCAGGTCTTCGGCGTTCTAGAGTCGCAACGTGGGGTTATAAGTGCGAAGGGCAATACTTCAGTCCTTGATGACTGGCTTTTTTCAGACGAAGCGCAGTTAGGCTTACATGTAGCGAGCTTCAAGGATGCGACACTCGTCACCCTGACTTGGCTACATACGCTTCTTGATGCGATGGGACGACAAACTCTACTAAGAGCCTGGACGGCAGTGTTGGAAGGAAGAGACGAAGATGTACCGGAGTTCTGGGGTTACGATTTCGACCCATTGATGCGGCTTGGAGCTTCTCCCGATGAGGGCGACCGGGATGCAGAGGGTATGAGTGCCGGCACTACGCAGGTGCAAGAGAAAGCGCAATCTCAGATCTGGATGGTGGTTTCAAACTTCAGGACTTGGCTTCCAAGCTTGCGAGACCCCAGAACGACGCTCGCATACCTCTACTCTCGGTTCTTTACACCGACGACAACGCAGAACGGCCGTATGCTCTACATGCCCGCGGCCTACATGGCTCGCTTGCGAACTGAAGCAATGCACGATCTTAAATCTCTCGACGCCTCACAGATAACCTACAATACCTCAACCTCTTCCGCACCAAAGCCCTTCCTCTCAGACGGCGACATCTTCTCAGCTTGGTTAATCCGCCATCTCGTTTCCTCCGACACCTCTCTGCTCAACTCACCACCTGCTCGACCCATCATAATCCTCAATGTCTTGGGCATGCGAGACGTACTGTCCACCTCGTCATCCAAATACGGGGTCTTGATTCCAAAAGGAAAAGCATATGTTGCAAACTGTACAGGTGGAATCATTTCGGCGTTCAGTGTACAGCAGTTTGTCGGTATGCCGTTGGGTCACGTTGCGGCTCGTATTCGCAAAGATCTTGTTGAGCAGGCGAATAGAGAGGCGGTGGAAGCTTCGCAGCGTGCCAGCCGCAACGGACAGCAAAACCTTACGCCTCCGTCGGATCCGCAGATGGGGCCGGCAGCCTACGTGTTCTCAAACTGGGCAAAGGCAACGTTGTTTGATACAGATTTCAGCGCTGCTGTCGTTTCTGATGATGGTGATGAGGGTGGGTTGACTAGTAGGCCGACCAGAGGAAAGCCTATGTATATCAGTGTTAACGGTCACGATAGACGGGTGGACGGTTGGGGCAAAAGCTCAGGGGGCATTGGTATGTGTGTTGGTAAGGATGCTAGGGGTGGGTATTGGCTTGGAGCAATCACCCCAGCAAAAGAGTATGCGGAGGAGTTTGAGAAGACTGTGTTGAGCGATTTCTAGGCCGGTGGGCGGGTCACCGAGATGGGCAGCGTCACTAGCCTTGTTACTTCGGAATTGGCACCACAATCTGATAGACGTCTTCGAGTAGGATATACGGTAGGTGTTGCATTAGTTGAACGCAGAATTATTGCGCTCAATGACTACAGAAACTCCGGCCCAGTTGCGCCATTCGCTAAAGTGAAAACTCGTGAGAATATAATGCATCAAGGGCTGGGCTGATGCACTATGGGTATACGTGTATGTTGTTCGTGGGACTTGGTAGATATGTGTGGGCACACCTTTGTGCTTCACAACCCCCATGCCTTTTTTCTAACGGAACATCGAGCGGTTTGAGAACCTAGTAGCGGACGCCATCAGCGGCAGCCTCGGTGTGTGGCTGAACGGCCTTCTCGTGTTCGAGCCTGGCCTTTCGGCGGTGGTCCCTAATCTCGTGGAAGGAGGCGGTGATGGCATGGAGGAGTCTGGTAGCCAGTTAGCAGATGATTCAGGGATTTGGGCAGCGGAGAACGTACGTGCTGATAATTGCCAAGATGAAGGTACCCCACGGCAGGTTACAGCTGTCATCACGGCTCGCAGTCGCGCCGGTAACAACACCAGTATTGCCGTTAGCAATACGCTCCGGGCTGTAGCAGTGACGAGCACCAGCAAGACCTCCGTTCGGTCGCGTAAGCACAGCCACTGCGATGAATGCTCCAACAAATGCAAGGTCGAGAAGTACCCAAATCCATCGGAGTACTCGACCGCCGGGGTTCGCTGACTTCTTGATGCAAGAAAGTAGGATCGTGATCAAGGTATACAGCACGGCGGCGGCAAGAATGCCCTCAACTGCACCATAGCTGCCGTTGATGCCGCGATAGGTCTTGACGCTGTTGACAAGGCGATACACCTTATATAAGCGTTGAGAAAAGATGCCGAGTGAGACCACAGAGCTGATGAATTGTAGGAGGCGTGTGAAACGTAAGAACCAACGGTAGAAGGAAGTGTTCTTGAGCTTGTCCGGCACAAAGCCTAAAGATGGGTGTACGCAGTCAGTATTTGTCTCACATCCAGTTCATGGGTAGTTACTGACGCGTAAGGAGACCTGTTTGCTCGCGCTTGTCGGTGACTGGGTAGTCGACCGGACCGTCAATGGGCTCCTGGGCGTGCACCATGTTGATATGCTGGGTGTCGACGTGGATGGTATTGATGGATTGGTGAATTCTGCTGAATGCTGAAGATGAGGGCAGCGCGAAGATCTACTATCTTATAGCTCTGAAGATGGGGTGACAGCGATGTGACACAAAGACCAGGCCCCTCTTGCCCGTTTGACACGGTCGTCACTCACCGTCACCGTCAGCTTCGGTACCAGTCCCCCGCATCCAAATTAAACCTGGAACCGCGGAGATTTTGCTTAGGCTTGATGCACGGCAGTGGCATGTTGCCTTTGCGCTTTCTCGGCGCGTCATGAGATTGGATGGCTTTGAACGACAAGCCACGATACAGGCGTGATTGGTGGCTGAGAACCAACGCACGTGACACCGCTAACGCAGTGCTAACCCGTAGCAGGCAAGTACGTCACTGAAAATCCCCATGCTTTTTCTTGAACATGACTTGGAAATCCCATGCATGCGAAACCAGTTCCCATGCGCGTCACAGCCACGTAGATCTCCAATAGCATATCCGTCGTGGCTGCCGAATCGCTCGATTCCTGAGCTGATCATCGTAGAATCACGAGCCACATTCGCGGGCGCTTGCTTTTTAGAGGCGATCGCGGTGAAGCTTGTTTCTGTGGCTTCAAGCTATAGGCAAGCTAAGGTTCCGTTAACCGATTGTCTCACGAAAACCAGATTGCGAGAGCATAGGGTGAACAGAATACGCTCCTTGATCCATACGCAATGCGTCCAGAAGCGGTTGTGCGACGAACTGCTGCATGCTCGCCCTGCCAAACTTGTTGAGCGCTACTCGCATTCGGATCCAAATGCCAGCACTGCACTACTTGGTGCTGTCTCGATGGCGAGTCAAGCCTTCTTCTTGTCATGTTTGTCGTTGGTGACTTCAGATCCAACTCTTCCCAAGGCCTCCACGATCCCCTCCTCGTATTCTCTGGTTCTGAATTGACGTTCGAATTGATGCAGTGAATGCTGTTTCCGCGTCATATAAGGAACAAAGTGAACAGGTACGCTAAAGTCTCCCATGCTTCAGAAACACGATTTTGTGAAACGTTGAGGCAATGTAGCCTTATTAGCTTTTTCGAATATACTCTGTGGAGGTAGATGCCCAGCTCTTGCCCTGGATCGAGTGTTCTATACGCAATCTGCGCTGCCTCAACGCGGCTTTGTATGCCGAGTAATAGTTATGTGTCGGGTGAAGAGGCCGTAACCACGATGTCGAAGATAAGCTAGTTGGGTTGATTTGATAGGCTGGGCATTGCTGGTGTTTGCGTTCAGGAAGGGTTGTGAGTTCCACATAGCGTCGCCTCGCGGTACAGCTTGGCCGTTATGTCATACCACTGTGTTCAATTCTCTTGACAACTTTCCATCAAGGTAAAATTGTATCTTTCCGATCTTTTTCGCTACTTTCCCCGTACCATACAGTCGCTCATCGATGTATTTGATCAATTCGCGAAGGTAGGTTTCTGACTTTGCGAAGTCCACTGGGTACAGCTCCTTAAAGTCCAGATGTGCCAGACCTTCAATCTTACGGAAAGGTATTTCTGCAAGACCGATCTCTTTGTTGCCGTTTCCATACCTCCACGTATCAATATTGATAGTCACAGTATCAATCCGAGTAACAGGTATGGTGTTCCGGCCATCGTCTAAGTGCTCGTCCAACAGTGGGTCGACCCATGTTTCCAAACCCCGGAAAACTTGTGATCGATGTCTTTTCGAACTATCATCGAGTAAGAAGCGAGCCAAAGGGAACGACAGTCCTCCGGCAAGAAGCAGCCAATAGGTGGACAAGTCAGCTGGATGCCGGTCTTCGTGATCCCAGTCCGTCTGCAGATGCCGTCCATCCGTGGTACAGCACGGGATTATGTTGATGTCTAATCTCTCGATGGTTCCTTCAAGCTCGCGCGCGGGAACAACGCGCCGTGTCGGCCACAACCAGTGGTCGTCAATAACTGCGATATCGACCTCGAAGTTCCGCGGCGCTTTTGAAAGATATTCTTTGGTCTCGCGATACATTCGTTGACTAGTTAGTAGAAGGCTTGGAACTCCTGAATCCTTCAAATAATCCAGGCTCGGTACACAGTAAAGACTGCGTACGTCGGTTGGATATCTGGGCCGACGACGCGTGCCATTCTTCGGTAGAACAGTAGGTGACGAGAGCACAAGGTCGATGATGTTGAAGACCAGTTCGCTCGGTAGATCTAGAAAGCCGACCATAGCTGCTTGCTGGTAGAGGCCGCAACAAGGTTGGGTGAGGGAAGGTTGCATGGGTTGTTCGGGATGCCTGCGCAGGCAGGTACTGCAGCCCTGAGGCGCAGGCGCGGTTGACCCCACTTCAGCCTCGGGCCGATGGGAGCTCTCCCACACAGCCATCAACTCGCCATTGCATGAGAACAGGCCCGACTTTGTTTGAGTCACTTTGCGGTGCGCTCAATGCTGTTACACATACCATCGCATTACAGGTTCGACTGCACGCGTTCTCGCAGCATCGCACCCAGCCCTGAAGCCAGAGACCGCTTCGTTTTGGTTAGCGCGAATGACTCACTTTTGCTCACTCTGCCTGCGCCTCTTGCATGAGGCTCAACAGCCCCCGGAGTCATATGTATCGCCTGATTGGGAAGCATGCTGATTCACGGAGTGGAGTAAAGTGTTTGAGCGTGTCTCTTGTACAAGACATAAAGATCGCTGTACACTTACAAGAGATCAGATTCATGAGACACCAGAGTCCTTTCTGACGCACTCGACATACCCCTTTCATTCGTCTTCTCTGCATCTCGTTCTGCTATTAGACATGGCGGCCACCGACCATACTTCTCTTCCAGCGCGGATATCAACGACTTCATACGATACAGCGTTGTGCATCATCCCACCCGCTTCTCAATGCGGTCACGTAGATCAGCTGCGGGAACTTTACGACAAGGCCTATGGGAAGGTGAGTGAGATACGTTCTGGATTCAGAGAAAGCACACATTGACTAAAGTTTTAAACTTTCTAGTGGCCACCTCACATCAACCTTGTGTACCCTTTCGTTGCACCAGAGCAGCTTCCAAAAGCACAGGAGCAGATTGAAGGGTACTTGGCACAGCATTTAACCCAAAAGGCGCCCATCGATGCAGAACTGGCTCAAGCCGGTGGTTTCGTGCAAAAGAACAACTTCACCGTATTTCTGGGTACCGGTGACCGTGGTGAGGAAGACTCGCCTCTCGTCTCGCTGCGTACGACTGTACTGCAAGCATTAGGCCAAGGTCCTTCTCGATTTACTCCCCACCTCACTATCGGTCAAACACAGGGTAATCCTCTACTCTCGCAGTCATACCTCCTACGCAAGGCTCAAAGATTACCAAACATACACTTCCGCGTCGGCACGCTTGCTATCCTTATTCGTGAGAGAACGACTGGCTCGCTGTCGACTGACTATATGCGGTTGTATGGAACTATCCATATTGGGGCTTCAGGCGATATTTGGAGACCTCACATTCCAGACTACTGGGTGAAGCTGCCCAACTCGAATCCGGCTGCACCCCGACTGGATGGTGATGAGCCTCAGCAAGAATCTTTACTTGAGGATTACGAGGTGCGCAACGAACCAGCTCTCTGCTTCGATCCCAATGAATCCAGATGGTCGCCGCACACATGCGAGAACACGAACGAGGCTGAAGTGATGGAAATCACTGTTTCGAGTTACAATGTCTTGGTAGACACCGAATATCCGCCGGACCATGACCGCGACCCGTTGATTGTAGACACAATCCTATCCAAACAAGCGACAGCCGACGTATTGGTGTTGCAAGAGGTCTCCGACGATTTTCTCGACTATCTCCTCTTCACTCGTCAGGACATTGCACACATATA